ATTTTATTTTATTTTATTTTATTTNCCGTCTCTGTTAGCACAATTTTATGCAACAAAGCGAAATATAAATATTTATTCTTGAGCGTAAAAGAAAATATTGAATAAGAATGTTGCCACATTATGCAATGCAATGCTTGGTCAACATTTGCATATCCATTTAGCGTTTAATAAGAAAGCAAATATTAGCGAACCATACATTGCCGCAGTTGAATGGTAAACAAGCAAAGCAGAGTAAGACAGCTAGTGAGAAGTTACGAATCGAATGGAATATTTTATTTTATTTTATTTTATTTTATTTTATTTTATTTTATTTTATTTTATTTTATTTTACTTTATTTTATTTTATTTTATTGTATGTTATTTTAAATATTCCATTTTAATTATTTTATTTTAGTCTATTTTATTTTATTTTTATTTACTCTATTTAATTTTTTTATTTGATTTTCTTCTAATTTAAATTCCTTTATGTGCTGTATTAATTTTTAGTCACTATTATTATATTATCCCATACTGTGAAGCAGACTTTTTACTTCAGTTATGAAATCTTTTTCGTTCACCATTATTCTTCTTGTTTGTTGTTCTCATTATTATCGAGTCTTTTTTCTTTGCTCTCGTTCAACGATCGGTTGGCACTAAACGTGATCGATTGATTTGTGTGATCGCGAGCGCACAAGTTCAACTAGATTGACTGTTGACTAGATAATTATTATTGTTGTTGTTGCTGTTTTTGTTCTTTTAGTTTTTAAAGTCGGCTTTTTTTTGCTATTGTTGTTGTGTTTATGCTTATTGCTGCCTTGACCGCTGCTGCTGTTATTACTTTGACCACCATATAAATGAGTTTATGCTGTTGCGATTCTACATTGCGGCCTATACTCGTACACAACTGCAATGAGCTCGTATATCAAATCTCGAATCGTGCAACACTCTGACATCCTTTAAAGCATGGAGAGGCGCAGTTTTTGACAGTATAGATCATCTAGTTAAAGCTAGCAGAGCAGCAAAGATTATGAACTCCAGCTTCTTGTTTTATTCTGCTGCTGAATTATCGTATTTTTATTCTCGATTGCTACGCTTGATTTTCGGTTAATGAATTCGTGGCAATCTGTCAGACCGATTTGGAATTTTCTCTCTTTTTCTTTCATATTTTTACTATTTCGGCTATTCTTATTTACATTTGTACATATGTGTGTATACGTATATATGTATTTGCAATTACCAATCGGGATTACAAGTCTCCTGCCAGATCAATCTCCCTCTCTCGCGCTTACGCTCGCTACTGCGATTACTACAGCAGATAACGAAATTTATTCCGCTCTCGTTTTAATGCTTTGCGCATCACCAAATTTGTATTCAATTATTGATTGACGGCTGTTAAAATGCCAACGATTTATATATGATTAAATAAGTAATCGAAGCAATGCCGCAAACAACAAAGTGAAACCTTGCAACATTTTAGCAAGTAAATATGCATCCACGTAAGCCTTAGCAGGCTTTTTAAAAAAATAAAAGCTTCAACTCAGTGAGATATTCAGATTGATTTAATCAAGCCGGCTAAGAAAGAGTTATTAACGATATATGCAAGTAAGTGGAATATATGTTTCATGGAAGACGAGACTGCTTGAAAATATATCATTATTCCAGTTCGTATACCGCTTATTTCGAAAAATAAAATAATTTTTATATATAACAAAAGGTATGTGAAATGAAGTATTGATTGGAAGAGGAAGGTGACCATTGTGAATAAAATAAACAGAAATTTGGGAAAAATAATTATTTTATGCTTTTTGCAGTCTTACCTCTCGTGGGACGTACCGTGTATGTACAATATTAAGACAATAAAATAAAAAAATATTACAACGCGCCCAGTAGGATGTCCACCGCAGCGCAGCAAGGTCTAGTTCACCGCTCTTAAAGCCGCACGGGTGTTCTACACAAAACTGTTCGTATTATGTAATATAAAAACACTTTAAATTAATTTACCCTGATGTATATACATAAATAATTTGAAAAACGCTACATCATCTCTAACACCACTCAGGTGGTCTAGACTTTGTTTTTGATTTTTCTCATAAAAATCAGATTCAATTTCAATTACTTTTCCATTCCAATTCAGATGCATTAAGTAACCGTATCATAAGTTGATTGATTTAATTATTTCTTTGAAATTCCGAATTTTTACAGAGTGAATTATTATTTTGAAATATGCATTGAAAAAATGCTGTTAATAAATATTTTTTTTTTATAATAGAAAAATTAATTAAGTGATAAAATAGGTCAACCAAACAACAAAGGCGCACGAAAATGAAGTGAAGCTAAGTCTCTCTTGACCTGATTTTTTCTCCGCTTGGAAAAATTTTAAAACCAGCATATTTACCAGAGAGAGATTTTGTTTGAACATTTTCGAGCAGCTCGAGCATTTGAGCACTTTTTTCAGAATTTCTTTTTCAGAAATTATTTATGCAAAGCGAAGAACTCATTGAAATGCTGAAGAAATGTTTCATGTTGATGTGATGTAGAGCCAATGAAGCTACTCTAATTTAAAATTGCTGAAGCTATGAGATATCACTGTACCGTAAGCTATCTCTATCCTAAAGAATTACTGCCAAGGCTTCATGTTTCATATTTTCAAATATAGGCAAGGTACTCTTCACTGCATATGGACAGGTTGAGAAATTAAAAATTGGTTATTAACAGGCCTATTCTGTCGAGGTAAATTACCAAGGTATTAAAATTTTCCATTCAGTAAATTTTGTTACCATTTCGTATTCTGTGCTCACTGTTATCCTGTAAATTTTGTTACCAGCGAAATAAAGGTAACAAACATATATCTGCCGTTTGATTTTGTGTTGTAAGTTTGAGAAAAAATGAAAAAACCAGTCGGATAGACTCTGGGAACGAGGTAAGGACTGCAGAAACACGAAAGCTATTGTATATGTAAAACATACAATACTAAACTCACAAAGTTTGTACCACCTGTAAAGCGGTCGGAAGCTGTTGATAGAACTATTGACAGCGTTGCCTTTGGGAGAAGCAAGTGAGGTGTAGAGACAGTGGATCAAAAGAAAGACAAAGGCCTTGCATACCTGACGAAGAAAGGCTATTGGATCTTCAACCGGCAATGACCAAGGGACCAGAACGACTACAAATGTTGGCAATGTTCTTCACACTAGAAACGCTCTAGGAGTGTAGCAGTCCAGCTTGGTCGCATGTAGTGTGTCGTGTAATACTACGGATGTATTATCGTCAATGTGAAATCCAAAGCGTCCGCCAGCTTAACTTAACCCAACCTAAGCTTGAACATAAATTTGATGGGAAATTGTAATGCGGGAGCAATTCGGTCGCAAAGTCCTGGTATTAAGGACGGTCATTGAACATCTAGCCTCAGTGCGCATCAAAAAAGAAGTAGCACTCACCTGTCCTCGTTAGGATATAAGAATCTGCGGTTTTATTGCTAGGGTGCGTAAAGAAGGTATTACAAGTACAGCAGTACAGAAAATTTAGCCTCCACGTTGAACCATCCCCAACGGGCTGAGGCTGATCAACGAGGTATGGAATTTGATTATCTATACTATTAGATTACGGCACAAGAATATTCATCAAGCTACATGGTTTAAGTTGGATCGAAAGTCTCGATCATGTTATAATAAACGCAAGAAATTCAGTCAGTGTTGTAGAAGCGCGCACTTTCCGAGGTTCGAATCGCTATCTTGGCTTAGCCAAGTTACACCTCTGTGTAGTAAAGAACTCACATCGGTTAATACAAGGAAAGTCCGACGTTGATTAGTTGCAATCACAAAATACAACAAAGCAGTTCTCTTCTCCGAGCGCAGTCATCAGCAAGTCGTTATTAGTTCATGTTCCTTACTACTATTTTATCACATGATCAAGAGATAAGCTGGCACCGAAGCGGAGATAGCCTACCTACCAATGTTGCGTTTGACCTCAGAGGCCAAGTACTCCCTCTTCTGCTTACATCAAGACGCACTTGACGAAAAAAATGGAAAAACATGGAAAAAGATCGCAATACGTGATCACAAGGAGCATGAAAAACTTCACAAAAGCGGTAATGCTCGAAAATCCGATGAAAAGATATGGCGACGTACGGAAAATATCAAGATCGGGGCATACTAATGGTCTGGTAGTGTGGTGACCAATGTCCAGGGCATACTGAGTTTATGGAGGAAATAATTTTTCATGTTGTTGATTAGCGGTGAAAGTGTATCACTAGGAGAAGCCCTTACAATGCCTAAATATGAAAAAGGTCGAATCGCGACTACCTGCCGATGGAATAAAAAGCAGCAGGTGTTGGTGGCTTATCTGCAAATCTATTCAATTGTGGTAGCGCACAACTGACAAGATGCATGCATCAGTTTTTTGAGGGATTTAGTCGGCTGTAAGCATGCAAGTCCTCTCTGCTATAGCTGCCGTGGGGATAAGCCGCCTTAGAATCGCATTTAAGGTCCTATTGAGCGTATTGTTTGAAAGATTAAAGTCCACTGCCGACAAGCCGCTTGGACCTTATCATTGTGACTTTAACTGGTCTGGCGCTCCTCCATTCACCATGCACCAAATCTTGGAAAATACGCGTGAGGAAAGAATCGATTCACACCACCACACATCACAATGAGGACCTACGTGGTGTGGAAGTAGGTAGTAGTATGTCTTAATTTGTCATCACTTCAAAGCTTATATATTTATGTTGAGTTGACACAGCTCCATTTCAAAAATTTTTTTTAGTGGAATCCATCATAGAAAAAAGGAAGGATAAGCTACAATATAAAATTCACAGAAAAAATTCTGTTGACGTTATTTCTTATTTTCATTTTAACTTCAAGAAATTGCCACTTTAAAAAATTTTTATTTATTTTTTTTTCCTTTAGATTTCAGAAAATACTATGCAAAGCCTTCGAGGTTTTAGTTTTCATTTATTTTTCTTTACATAAAGAGGATTTAAATTTTTTGTAATATAGATTTTTTTTTTAATTTCTAAAAGTTGAAAATTAATTTTTTAAAATGTGAAATTGTGCAAAATTTTTGAAAAAAAATTTAAGTGAAGCCTGCCTTGCTTTTGTATTAATGGTGGAACCAAAAACTTCCTGATGTTAAGTTCAAGAGCCTCTAAGAACTGATAGATATTGTATAATCCGCGTACTCATGGCGGTTGCGCTATAATCCTTCCTGCTTTGATGAGTGGGCACATGTTGAGGTGTCTCACTTTAGTTCAGTTTGCGTCTACACGGCTATATATAAGATTGAATGCCTCGCGCCCCAAGCATAATATCAAAATAATGTTTCTTTATGCGGCCGAAGCAAGTTATTATTCTGTTGATAATATATCCTTCGCATCCCTAGCATATTATCCAGCTGGAGAGAGATACTTTTGCCATTATAAGAAGGTACTCAGCTGATGCTGCTTTTTTGGCTTTTTAATTGGAGTTAATTTTTTTGTTGGTGAGCTTCATTAAAAAAAATAAACAAAATTTTAAGTATTGAAAAGGTTTTGTTCATATTTTTCCCCCGTCAAATTGGCTTGGTTTATTCTGTAAAATATTATTTCTACTAATGCCAATTCCAGCCACTGCTTTCACGGGAACTGGGTACCAATCACATGTACATAAATTTCACTGAAATATATATCAATTACCAAACGAGCAAAAATACTTAAGATATCAGTCAAGTGATAGTAGGTAAAATCGCAAAGCGCCATATATACATATTGTATATATGCGCGTACTAAGTATGTGGCTTAAAGTGAGAAGCAATAATTATCTTCATCAAATAAACCATTAATTTTCTCAACTTCTCAATTACACCACCGAAATGCGTAAATCAGCGTGAAAATGACAAAAAAAAAATTTTAAATAATAAAAATAAAATAAAACACGTTCGTTCGATAATGAAAACCTAGGTATAGATGCATATATTTCTTATAAAAATAATTTTATTTCATAACTAATTTTCAGTAGTTGACAGCTGCATTGACCAAATGGCTAACATTTTGTACTGCCATTTCGGAAAACTAGGGTCCAAAAGTTAGAGAAAAAGAATTTAAATAAAAATTCAACATAAATTTTCTAATTACGATTGTCCCTCGGCAAGGAAAGTCAACCCCTCTGAGTGTATTTTTGACATGAATTAAAGACTCCTCATAAAAAACCTTCCCTCGTTCAGAAGTGGCTCAGTATAAGCTGTGGGTCCCTGCATTCGTTGAAAGAGACGCATATCACAAATTGGAGGAGGGCCTCTTACGTACATCGTTTCAGCGGCTCCAAAGCGCTAATTATATATATCTGTTTATTTATAAGAAAACCTTCCAAGAGATAGCTAGTACATTTCACATCAACCTTTCTGAATTTATTTTATTTAACAAATACAAAGAAAAACATGCGTACCTACCAAAACCCACAACGCACCATCAGATGTGCCGCCAACAAAACATAATGTTGTGATGCTGATGTTAATTCAGTAACCTGAAAGTAAAAAATGTACTTACGTAGTATTTGATTCATTTGTAAGTTTTAATTACGGTTTTCTTCGATGCCACTTTATGCTCATTTGGAATTTTACAGGCTTTTGCAAACGAAAAAGGACACAAAACTCAAACATTTTTTTCTTGAATTCTTTGTTTTATGCAAAGCTTTTTCCTAAGTCATCCAGTGCAATTTTGATTGGTTGCTTTCATGGCCGGCATCGAATTCAGAAAGAAGTATGTTTCAGACTTGAAATATCTTGATTGAGGATTGCATTGCAGAGATTTTGATAATATGAATTACTACTTCTCTGCATTAGATTCCAACGAATATTTCTTTCATTCACTGAAGAGAGAACTAATAGGGTATCCAAAGAGACTTTGGATGGGTCTCGTTTTTTGCCAAAAAAAATAAGGAAATTAGCCTTGGATTAATACTACCAGGCTAATGTAGTTTCTTTCCAGTGAAAATGCTCGTAATAAAAATAATAAAAATTATAGCCAAACACAAAGAAGTATAACTGGAAATTGGTATCCATCACATCGATTCTAAGAGGATAGTAAATTGAAGCTACTCTGAAAACATACCTCCGCTTCTGGCTTGATTGAATTCCAGTGAGTTAATGTTCAATGAATGTAACGGAATTTGCGTTTCCAAGGATCTTTGGCCCATCTGTAGATCACGGTAGCGCAGTAATCTTCTTACGCGCTCGAATTCACAATTCATGCTATAGTGAAAATTCTTCCTAAACTCTATTTGCTGTCGAGATGCCTCCAAGCGATCAACGTAGAGTAATCTCAGAGACTTGCAGTGAAAAGGCAAACCAGTATGCAAAACTACTAGTCCCATACCAGTCTTTTAAAGATAAAATCACACCAGTTCGTTTTTTGTTTTGCCAAAGAAATAAGAAAAGTTCACCATTAAAGGGAATAGTAACAATCTCGACCACCATGCCACCGCTATGTTATGTTGTATTGCACTGAATTTCTGCTATGCCCTGTTAAAAGCGTTTTATGTTGCTGAACTTTATATCTTCACCAAAACCAAGTTGTTAGAGCTTATGACTGACTATCTAGTTAAATAATCGATGTAAAAACCGAATAAAAATCTTATTAGGACCAGCTTAAAATTTTATGCGTACGAAAACGTCGCAAAGCTCTAATAATTTCAACAATAAAATCAATACAAATATTTTTGTATCAAAATCACTGAGATTTGTTTTTAATAATGCCGTTATAGGGCTTAATAAAATTATCTTTTTGTACAATATTTTTTGCCGACTGTTATTGGCATTTGTGCTGATTTGCTTCGAAATAAATACATACAAAGTCATAAGTACACATTCGTATGCACATAGTAATGTGTGTAAGACACACAATCTGGCCAATCAATCTTGTGACTTTGACATTTACGACCATACATGACTGCGCTTATGTGACACAAAATATTTTATTTTTTTTTTTTACAGAAACACACACATATACACACTCATAGCGTGTGAGCTACATTTCAACTACATTTTTCCACCTTTGTTTACCTTTAACAACAGAAAACAAAGACAAAAAACAACAACAGCAACCAACAAGCTCTTGTACAAATTTTTACTGCTTCACCAGACAAAATGTCACCGAAAAAGTGAGAGAGACAAAAGCTAACAGCAAACGCTGGCTACACGCGTTGATTGGCTGCGTGTAGAGCAGCGCACAATTTCACGTGGAGTGCCGTTTGCCGAGCTCACGCGTTGGCCGAGTGTTTGACGGGGTCTGGCAGGTTCGCATTTTGGCACTCTGTGTCACATTAGCAAGTGTTAAAGGCAAGAAAACAACAACACCAACAAACTCGACGCTGTGCTGCCTCGTTTAAAACTCCTCTCCGCAGAGTATGCCGGCAGGCGGTGACTGCGCCCATTTCGATTCGTTAAGGTAATGTATATTTGCATTGTATTGCAAATGAAGTGACAAATACACATACATACATATATGCTTATTAGGGCGATTCAAAGGTGTGTAGGGAAGTCAAAGTGCTGTGAGGTTTTTTTCTTTCTTTAAAGACTTCAAATCCATTCACAGAGAGTCAGCCAACACGTCATCAATTCTCTTGAAGTGAATGGCTTCATGGGGATTCAGCCACCAGCCAAAGCAGACGAAAAACTCAAAAACTAACGATACCTGCGTAGTACTGACCAAGGTAGCTTCAAGCCCAAGCAGAGCTTTTGGGCATTACTGACGACGTCAAACCGGTGGCAAACGCTTTAACGGAAAATCTTTCAGCTTTCTGACAGACAGCAAAGAGACACCTAAAGCAATAAAGTGCGTCTACAAATAGTTGCGCTGCGTTAAAACATGTAAAGAGGCAATTTAGAGCCTGTTGCTGGAAAACACGGGTGAAAAGACAATAAAAGGCGTACGAGCTAGGTCGCACTGTCGAGCACTTGAGGTCCGGGAACTATTTTAACGTGAGACGTGCTATTAAATTAACTTGGGACGTCGTGAATGGTTGACAGACAAAACTGTTACTCAAATTGAACAAGGAAAACTTGAAATTTTGTCGGTGCATTAAGGGGACATCTCCAAACAAGTAAGGAAATATAGAATCGGCTAAGTGCAGAGCATGCGCGGAAGATGGCAAAACTCTGAATCACGGCCTGTTGCACATATGGTTGAAAGAAACTTAAACAAAATATAATATCAAGTGAACTTCTCGCAAACGCCTAGTTGGGATACTCTGGCTACCGTAATGAGCCTGCTCAATGGCTAAGCTGCGGCCGCTTGCGATCAGGTTAAGGACCTCCGTCTTTCAACTAACCAACCAACCAAATATTGACCCAACTAAAGTCTGTACACTTTTGTAAACTCAATATCTACTTATCCATACTAGACTTTGGCTTAAGCAACATAAAATGACCCGCATGCAAAGAATTCACGCACGACGCTAATCATCGCTTTGCCTGAACCCCAAATTCTACTCATCTAAACCCACTTATTTTATAGTAAGAAAACGTCGAAATAACATAGTTTATATTTCGTTTAAAAACGTATGAGAAGTCAAATCTAGGCAGAGATGGAATTATAGACGTGAACGTTAAAATTGCGACGTAAGACCGAGTGGCTTACCGCAATAGCCGAGGGGCTAACATTGCGTGCGGCCAGAATTCCTGGTCCAACCAACATCCAAATTATAGAAAATCCATTTTTTTAATTGCGGTTTCCAATCGAAGAGGTTGTCAACTCCTCTGTGTATATTTCTGACTTGAATAAAAGCTCCTTAAAAAATCCATCGGCTGTGTGGAACAAGCTTAGAAGATACTGTATATTCCTCTATTTTATGGGGAAACATCACGACACACACCGCAAAGTTGGAGTATGAACCCAGCCAAAATCATTTCAGCGGTTATAATCTTGTTCAATCTCTCCACAGAGTTTTCAGAAGGAAATTATTTTTTGATATGGATGAAATTAGGATTTTCTCGAAAACGCTAAAGAATAGAGATCTTGAACTTGCAGTAACTAAGTTTCTTATTGGTATTAATATTTCCCAAAACTAAGAGCCGTACACCCATTACTTATCGTCCTAAGGTCTCTAAAGGAATTTTCAATAAAAAAAAATTATATTAAAAATATTTAAACCCATTATAATTTTTTTTTTGGGATCACATTAATGTGCAGATTTACAAGCGTTGCGCCGATAGATCGTTTGAATTTGCACATTGTTTCAACATTACAACATTTACTACTAACTCTGTTGCCATTCTCAGACGTATGGTCGGTCAGTTATGACTCCTTCGCTGATGGCTTTTTGTTGTTGTGGGCTTTAGTACCGACATTTTTGTATGCATTTTTCGTTTTGTTGTTTTGTTGTTTTTTTTTTTTGATTGCTTTGGTTTTTCGCCCATTTGCATTGTCATTTTTCTTTATTGTTATTTATGCTGTCGACTTTAATGACCGTTAAATTGCACTTAGCAGCTATTTAGTGGCCGTTTAG